TATATATATATATATATATTACAGTATTATTTATAGATTATGTTATATATTATATTTCAATTATCTATATTTTCCCCAATTTCTCGTTACCAATCGGCATTCAATTTTCAATGAATAGGCAGATGCCGTAGGGCAGACGCCTAGTTAAAAACATTCAATTGAAAACATAATTTACTAATTACTGTTTTTTAAATTAAATTGCAAATAAAGATTTTCACCTTTAGTTTTTTTAAGTACCCAAAGTCGATGAGATTTTCTCGTTTGAACTTTAATTTAAATAGATTAGATGGAGAGAGAAATTTCTCGGTTGCATGAGATTTTCTCGTTTGAACTTTAATTTAAATAGATTAGATGGAGAAAAAATTTTTATCGGTAGCATGAGATTTTTGAGTGGATCACGTCGCTTATTTTAAATCTGCAATCGGTTTCTCTCTACAAGCTACTGATTTAATGCAATTCGATAATATATTCCAAACCTGATTTTCTAAAATTCACTGGTAGGAGTTCTAAGTGCTTCCACTTCTCTGCTACGTTGGGAGTGGTTGGAGGAACGTGATAATACATTTCAGTTTATGTTGTGGTACGTGAAGGTCATGTGATTTTAACCTTTAGTGTTATTTTCAAAGGAGCAGACAAGTATATATATATATATGCATATGAATTTGAACAGGGGTCAAACAAAAATATGGAAACACTTTTACATTAACTCTATGTAAACAATTTTTCCTTCAACGACAAATGTTTTGGGAGAGTTTGCATAGAAAAACTGTTGGTACAGATTGAAAGATTGTGTTTGAATCTTTTAGAAGTAGCGTCCTTTTTACTCTTACAAAATTTAAATCAGCCGAAATTAGCGAAGGAAGTTAAAAGCTAAATCCCTTTTTTTTTCTACGAATTCCCTGAATTCAAGAAAGCATTCTTAAATAAATAATGCCAACCTGTAAATTGATTTAAAAATTGCTGGAAAAAAACTGAAATGAAGTTATTAATTGCCTGTTATTGAATAAAAGAACACCATTTCTGAAAGCTTCAAGCATGATTTTTCAAATTATGTTAACAATTTTGCCATGCAAAATGTTCAGAAGCATTCGTTGCTAAAAAAAAAATTCATGTTTAGTCGGTATAGATGTATTTTCATTATTTTTATCAACCTATGTACAGTGTTCAAAATAAAAAACAGTCCACCTCGAATAGCTTTTGATCTAATGATCGGATCTTCAAGAGTGGATGAACTTAAATATGCTAATTAATTAATGCAGATGATATTTTAAGTTACGAAATCAGACACAAAAACGTACTTTCTCTGAATCAACGTACCTTTTCTTCAACGGATTTGAATTTCTGAACCCCAAAACGGAGAGGGTAACGGCAATCTGAGAAATATGGTCCCAATAGTTTGGTAAGAAGGAGTTGTACTAAGTTTGGACCCCTTAATGTTAGTTTAGCGAACTGAAATATTTTCGCACGTAATTATAAAATTCGTTTATTCAAAGATAATTCCATATAAAAAAATAACTTTTAATAAACATTTATTATTTTTTATTATTTTATTTAATATTGGTCAAAAAACTTTTAATTGTAAGGTATACATTTTTTACACCATTTTGAGGAATACAAATTTACATGGCATAATACAAAATTTGAGTGAAAGCAGTTCAATAGTTCCTGAGTAGTCGTATTTAAAAAACTCAATTTAGTCACGTTTTGTGTCTAATTTCCTAATTTAAAATATCATCTGCCCTAATTAATTAGCATTTTTGATGTCATCCCCTCAAATCATTAAGAAAGAGTCTTAGAACATGAAGATCCGATCATTAAATCAAAATCTATTAAGTTTAGTCTGTTTTTTATTTTGTACACCGCACATTCTGACAAAAAAATAAAATAAACTAAAAATACCATTTTGAAAATAATCTGTAACTTCTCCGAACAATTCTAATTTCAGATTTGAAATCCTTACTCCCAAATTAGGTAAGATATTAGGTTAGACAAATTAGGTTAGGTTTTTCTCTGCTAGTCTAAGCAATGCAAAATAATTTTAAAAAATCTAATAAATATGTGATAAAATTAAGTTTTATTGTAGATAAAAAGAAAAAGAATTTAAAAGCTATACATAAAATATAAATTAATAGTTTGAAACATTTAATTCTTAATAATATTAAAACAGCCAGTAATTACTTTAAAAATTGTTTCATTCATACTATTTTTCTACCAAGTAATCAAGAATTAATTTTTGAACGTGACACAAAATTCAGTGCGTAACGATTTAGTCGAACGCCATTTTAAATTTTATTATGTTAGGCAATTAAAAACTAAAGACTTTACAATTTTTGGTATTTTTCCCAACATTTCAAAAGTATCTTTTATTCATATGGCGTTTATTTCATATAAATTAAAAAAATTATATTTATTCAAATTACTTAATTTGCCATGTTGTTTGCTTGAAAATTTTTTTTAATTTGTTAAATAATTTAATGTTTACTTTTTTGCAGCAGTTCAGGGTAGACGAATGGTTTTTTACACAATGCCTCCTTCCGTCACATCGTCCACACTCAGGCATGTCCAAAACGGAGGTAAGATTTCATTTTTTTAGAAAGAAAATCAAAAAAAATTTATCTATCTATTCCATATATATATACACTACTGTGAATGATCGAAATTTTGTTGTCGTCCAACGGTGAATGTTGACAATCAATAAGTCACTTTGGTAAATGTTCCAAATATATACTAGGTCAAGTAAATTTGCATTGCCCGGTATGCCCTACATCAATGTTTCTTTAAGGTCAAGTGCCACTGCCTAGTATGCATTTAACCGGTACTCCGAACACTAATGCTTCTCCTGATGTATCCTCAGAAGATATCAAAATATCGATTAAATATAATTATATCAAGGAATAAATTTATATAAAATCGGATGTAGCAAATATTTCGAACAATCACCAAGACGACTATGTGATTGTTGACATTCACCGGTGAAAGTCAGCATTCTCTTGATTTCTTTTCTGTCATTCACGGTAACACACACACTATATATATATATATAAAATAATTCACAATAGTACATAGACATCTACACAC